TCGCCCCCTGGTGGACACTGGAGAGAATGCAGCTTTAACACATGAAGGTTGTGGGTTGTGTCTGTGACTTTCTTACCCTTTTCTACAACATGACTCCTTCAGGTCAGTCCGAGTGCCCGGCCTACCCCACCGAGCTGGTGTTGGGTCTGGACATGTCGGAGGACGTGACCCCGGCGGCTTTCGAGAGGCAGCGCTCCGTCCTCTTGTCCCTGCTGGAGGACGTCACCGTCTCAGAGAGCAACTGTCCGACGGGCGCTCGCGTGGCCGTGGTGGGTTACAGCGCCTACACCAAGTACCTGATCCGCTTCCAGGACTACCACCGCAAGACTCAGCTGATCGAGTCGGTGAAGAACATCGCCCTGGAGAGGACGTCCAACCGGCGCCAGCTGGGGGCCGCCATGCGCTTCGTGGGTCAGAACGTCTTCAAGCGCGTCCGAGCGGGAGTGATGATGAGGAAGGTGGCGGTCTTCCTCTCTAACGGGCCGTCACAGGACGTTAACAACATCATCACCGCCGTGATGGAGTACCGGGCCCTCGGCATCGTCCCGGCAGTCATCTCTCTGAAGAACGCTCCGGCTGTCAGTCGAGCCCTGCAGGTAGGTTTGAGCTCTCCAGAGAAATAAAGTCCTGTCGCTTTCTTTTATTCGTCTCTTACTCAAACCGAACGTCCTGATCACGTTTCATCGTCACACTCACTATTATTTTACTTTTGTACGATTTATATTTTGTCTAGTTTTCACATTTTTATCACAGTACAAAACAAAAAAAACGTAACTCTTAAAAAAGAATGTCTCAAAGAAAAGAAATGAATTAAATGTAATAAATAAATAAAACTTGCCAACAGCTCTTTAGTAAAATTAGAAGTCATTGTTTATTAGTTATTATTGTTATTATTATTGTTTTTATTATTCTTATTATAGTTATTTGTATTATTATTGTTAATCTTATTATCAGTATTACTATAATTATGTTATTATTATCATAATTATAATGATAATTATTATCATTATTATTATTATTATGTTTGTTATAATTATTGTTATTATAATTGTAATTATTATAATAAATATTATAATTGTAATAATAATTATTATTATTATCATTATTATTGTTATGATTATTGTAATTATTAAAATTATTATCATTATTACTACTGTAATTATGACTATTGTTTTTATTGTCTTTATTATTGTTATTATCATTATTATTGATAACATTATTGTTATTATTATCATTATTATCATGTGTCTCCTCAGGTTGATGACTCAGGACGCTCCATCTTCACCGTTCTGGGTAAAAACATGGCTGCTGACCTGAAGAAGGTCCAGAGCTGTGCGGTCTGCTACGGTGAGATGAAGCTCATGTTCATCATCATTTACTACAATGTGAAAACAGGCTCATATCATTACGACTCTCCAGCTCTGTAATGAAGGAACAAGTCTGTTTCTTTACATCTTCTACATCACAAGGGTTGTTAGCATTAGCATCAGTCTGTTAGCATGATCGCAGGTACGCTACTATTGAACCGTCCATCAGACGACACAGGACAAGTCTACATGAGTAAAAGTAGAACGTGTTCTTCACCAACAGATGTTCTTTAGTTCAGAAGACGCTCTAACTAAACTCTTTAGTTCAGAAGACGCTCTAACTGAACTCTTTAGTTCAGAAGACGCTCTAACTAAACTCTTTAGTTCAGTAGACGTTCTAACTAAACTCTTTAGTTCAGAAGACGCTCTAACTAAACTCTTTAGTTCAGTAGACGTTCTAACTAAACTATGTTCAAAGAGACAAAGATCCTCTGAGCAACAGAAGAAGAAGAAGAAGGGTTAGTCAAATCATCAGAAATCATCTTGAAGCTTCCTGTTTCAAGAGTTTCACAATAAAAGCAGCCTAGAACAAGCTGGAATGACTTGACAGTAGAAACACAAGATTAATCTAGAGTTAGAACACCTCGAACATCTGCTGGACTCATCACAGTTTAACCCTCTTGAAGCCGGTGACGTGGTGCTGGTCTGGTTTGAGACTATTTAACGAGCACTTCAGAACTCTCATAACTACTTGACACAAAGACGAGAATGTTTATTGTATTGTGGTCAGCAAACATTTATCAGGTTTTTGGATGAGAACTGGTTCTTGTTTCTTCAGACCCCTGCCAGCGCTCGGGGCAGTGCGCCTTCATCCAGGAACCGGTGCAGCCTCAGGAGGTGGACATGGACTTGGTCATGGTGGTGGACAGCTCCAGGGAGGTGCAGGCGGACGAGTACGCCGGCGTCCAGCAGCTACTGGGCTCTGTGGTGGAACAGCTGGTCGTGAGCCCGCAGCCCCGCAGGGCCGGCAACCAGGCCCGGGTGGCCGTGGTCCAACAGAGCGGCACCCGGGATACCAAGGTAGGGTTTGGCCTCGGGACCTACCAGACCAGCGCCCTGATGAGGAACCACCTGATCCGGAACATGACGCAGCAGGGCGGCTCGTCAGCACTGGGACGGGCGCTGGAGTTCACCCTGAAGGAGGTGCTCCTGAAGGCCGGCCAGCCCCGGAGGACGAAGGTGCTGCTGACCGTGGTGGGCACCCAGACGGCTCACGAGGACCGAGCCAAGCTGCGCTACATCTCCCGGAAGGCCAAGTGTGAGGGGGCGGCGCTGTTCGTGGTGACGGTCGGTGATCGCTACGACCGGACGCAGGTGGAGGAGCTGGCCAGTCCACCGGTTCAGCAGCACCTGATCCACATGGGCAGTCTGAAGGCTGAGGAGCAGGGCTACGCCCAGCGCTTCTTCAGAGTCTTCCTCTCCGCCCTCAACAGTAAGACCAGACCCACAGTTTGTCATCCAGATACCAACTTTTCATTAATTTCTTCTCATTGTTTCTTTGTATTGGTGTTTATTTCAGAGGGAATGAACACGTATCCTCCTCCTCCTTTAAAAAGGACATGTGACCAGCTGACAGAACCAAATGAAGGAGATATATTCATAAACAGGTAACATGTGACCGTGATGATAGAAAAACAAAAGTCCGTTAATCTGCAGATGTTTTGATAACTCTGTATGGTATAAATGATTTTTAATGTCCATTAAGATGATGTTTAGTTTCAGCCGTAGAGTTTAAGAAAGCTTTAACAGCATCAGTTATAACAGAGACAGCACAGGACTGTAAAGACTACTAATACTAACTGATATAGTGTGTCCAGTCAGGGGAAGGCAGCGAAGGACGAGGAACATTTCGGGGAGGAGAGGTTTCAAGAGCAGACGGGAGGACGAGCTCAGATCGGCCAGCTGGACATCACCGACAGTCTGACCAGAGGAGACGGACAGACATTTGTTTCCCTGTCCAACGGTACCCCACACTCCAACCACACTCCAACCACACTCCAACCACACTCCATCCACACTCCAACCACACTCCAACCACACTCCAACCACACTCCAACCACACTCCAACCACACTCCATCCACAGTCCATCCACAATTCAACTCGACTTAAAACTAATGTAAAGCTTAAAAGCCTCAGAGCTGCAGTCTTCCTCTCATTGAGTTACTAAACGCATGCTTCATATTCCTTCACTGCACAGACTGTTGATCACATCTCTTCTTTATTTCTGTTATCACCTGTATTTCATTTGTTCTTTTATTAACATTTTATTCTATCAAACTCTTGGACTAAACCCGTTTGAGTTCTCAACATGTATTTCAGCTTCATGTTAATATCAGATTAGAGTAGAACATGTAGTCGTCGGAGGCTTGTTCTCCGTGTTGGTAGTAAATGTGTGTGTTGTGCTTTCAGCCCAGTGTCAGCTGGATGTAGCGTCGGAAATACACGAGGGCAAAGGGCAAAACTGCCCCTAAGAAATATCATTTTGCCCCTGATATCACTAGGAGAGGGGCAACAAATGCCCCCGAACTTTGTAAACGAATAAATAAATGGAGCGCTTCTTAATCAGACCTGTGACTGCGAGACTGCGGTCAACTCAGCAGACACTTACATGTTAGTGCACCTATATGCTGACATTCACGGTAAACGCATTTAAACGGCACAGATCGGGAGCGAGCGAAGGACTTT